AGACTATGTTAAAAATAAATTTGACATCAAAAAAAATGCGTTTAAGCAGTAGGTTCTTCAAGTAAAGCTGTAAAATAGAGTGATATTTTTGAAAGTATGGTTAGATGTTGCAAATGTTATAATTAACAAATTCAAGCTTATTAATGTGCAAAAAATCTGCTTTATACAGATTCAAAAAAGATCTGGAACTATCTGTCTCAGATCAGTAACTATAAAGCAGTAAGCTATTGTTGGAGGTGGTACTAGTTATTGTAATATGCTAATATGTAAAAGAATCAAAAGTGGTAAGACTCAATTGCAATAAAAGATATTTAAAAGGAGGAGGGGGGTTGTATGTGTTTTTTTGCAACTCAAAATAATAAATATACAAATTATTGCTGTTTATAATTATTACAGTTTTATAAATAAAATAAATATATTCATGTAAGAAGCTTAAAGTATTATTTTAAATTATACTGATAAATCTACAGCAATAAAAACTCAGTAACTAGGAAAAGCAGTTGAACCTTATGGCCCCTATAAATAGAAATACTTGTCAAAATCACAATTTGTTTTGAAAAAACTTCACAAATACACATCTAGAGGCGTGTCTTTTTGCCTATTTTTATTTCAATAAAATTCATGCATTTGCCTTTTTAAAAGATTTCAGTAGAGTATAGCATTTGCTTAAATTGCTACATGTTATTCTAGCAGAATAACTTTTATATATTTCAGTAAAGCATTAGCAATTAACATAGCTAAATGCTTTACTAAAATATATATAAAAATGGCAAATGCTTGAATTTTATCACTAGATAAAAGTATTTTTTTTTTAAATTTTTTTGGTTGTATTTTCGTGTAGAAATCTTTGAATGTCTGCTCAATAACAGGAAAAAAAATCAAATAGTTTTGGAGTTTAAAAATGGTAATATGTACTATATTATATGCTGGTAATATATACTATATTACCCGCATAGTGGTAGTATAGTATATATTGCCAAAAAGAAAACAAATTAGTAAAATATTTTGGTTTTCTCTTGAGAAATCACTTAGCATTATTAGGGAGGAATCATCTTTAATTAACATGTTTTTTAATACCAAAAAACACAATATATATGATATATAGTCATAAATTAAATTTAAATATCAAAAAATAAGTAATATATAGTTAAAAATTACTAAATGACCTCGAGACAGTTAAAGATGTAAAAGTCTATACCAAACAAACTAGTATTCTAATTAGGTGCTTTGATTTACGTTCTATAAGTGCAAAGGTTAAATTTGTTAAAATTTAAATTTATTTGTTAAAAAATAAGTTTAAAGTTGTTTAAATTTCATTTTGTTTGTTTATACAGTGGTTCTCTGTTGCAAAGTTATGACACAATTTTAAAGCAATTTGTTGAAATAAAGATATGAGTTTATTGGAAATTGTGTTTGTTTATACAATGATTCTCTGATGCAAATTTAAGATACAATTACTAACAAATACAGTGTTTTTGTTTTTGAAGCAATTTATTGAAATAAAGAATATGAATTTGTTTGAAGAATTTAAATAAATATATATATTTATTATACTTAAATACATATATATTTGTTATACTTAAAGATAATTACTTGCAAAATTTAGTTGTAGCAGTTTTTCTGTTAAAGTACTTCGTGTAAAATAATTATAAAAAAATCTTTATTAAAAATTTTTTTAATAACGATTTTTCGTTTTGAAATAAAAAATGTTGGCAAAACGCAAAACAATTATTTACAGTTTCAGGTTTTTATTTATAGTGAGATCTTGATTTTGAATATTTTAGAAATTTGTGAATTTTTATTAGCCATTCTTTAAGTGTCAAGTTGGTGTAACCACAATTAAATTTGGATTTTATTTAATTGTGTTTGCATAAAAATTTATATTCAAGCATGTTAAACTTTTTTTTAAATGCATAAGCCAAAATTGTTTCTCTCATAATATTTAATTAAAAAAGTATATTGAACAAATGAAATTATGCAGGGCACAAATTAAGGTTATGACTAAAAATTGACCTTGAACAATAAAGCATGTTGAAATTTTTGCAAGTGTCCTGATATAGTACTATATGAAAATGTCTGAATGTAAAGAAACATGCAGATAAATTATGAGTAAATAAATTACAAATCATTAAATGAAGGTGCAAAACTCAGTAAATAATAATAGTTCAAATTTTTAAAATTTTCCATATATTTTTTTAACAAATGTAACAAACAAAACACCAAAAAAAAAAAAGCCTTAAAAAAAAACAACAAAAAAACCCAAAAGGTAAAAAAGGCGGTTTTTTGCAACTCTATCCCTTATTTTTTTTTTTTTTAATATATATCCATTTATTTAACCATAAAATTGAAAAAAATTACAGATTTATTTCTAATTTTACAAAATTAGGTCCGGTGTCATTCATATAGTTAAAAGCTTGTCAAAAAAAAATAATATTAAAAAGAAGAACAGTAACTATTAAAAAAGCCAGACTAATGAAACAAAAGCCAGACTAATAAAACAAAAGCCAGACTAATGCAACAAAAGCCAGAAAAAGTGTTTGAGGTGACTCAAAAGATAATGAATGAATGAGATAACACAATGTTTAACAAAAATAAAAATGATAGAAAATAAAAAACAAAACAAAAGGAAATATATTTAAATATCGAGACAAAAAAGTAAAATCACTTGATTAATCTCAACAAATGTAAAAGGCAACAATAACAAAAATAATTAACAATAACACAACAAAAAAAATGCACAACAATATAAACAATACACATAAGAACAAGTAAATGTATACAACCCTCGGAATTATCAAAAACGAGGTGGCAATAATTTGTCAACCTCAATCTTTTAGAGGTCAACAAAAAAAATTTGATACAAAGGTCTCACTTTTAACTACCGCAATAAATAAATAACTGCTAGCTAGTTCAATTTAACGATTAACTCAAATAATTATAAACGTTTTAAATGTAAATTTATTATGAAAAGTTTGTAATGTTTTCAATTGTTATTTTATTATTAATTTTAGTTCAATATTATTAAGTAAATATATATATGTATATATATATATATATATATATATATATATATTTTAATTATTTCTGAAATTTGTTTTTGAATAATTATTATTTATAAATTGTTATTGAATAAAAAATTTTTTGTCTGCTTTGAGCATATTTTTGATACATAGTTTAGAACACGTTCGCCAATTCATAAATTTTTAATGTTATTGTAAAAATGTTTTACATTTTCATCAAGTCTCAAAGAAACAGAGCTATAGAGAAAAGTAGTTTTTAACGATTAAACCTTTTTTTTTTAATTTTAGGAAAAAACAAAGTTAAATAAAAAAGTCTTAATTATGCAAACTCATTTGTTAATTATTCTTAAAACAAAAAACAAATATTTCTAAGCAAAACTTTTATCGTGCAGTATATTTATATACTGCACAGTTCAAATTATTAAATATACGTGTAAGTATATTTAATAATTTGAATTGTATCTGTTTATAATAAACGTTCGTAAAAAATTGTTTATTAAAAATTAAGTTCATTAACTTATAAACAAACTCAAAAGTATTTTCATTCTACATATAATTACAAAACTCTCTTTTTTTTTTTTTGTAAGCAATTTAACTTAATAAAATAAAAAAAGAATTGATATGAGATAATCTTTGTTAAGAACAAATTTAATTTATTTATTGAACTATATTTTTAATTTTATTTATATATCAACTTAATTAAAATATAGTAACATGTTAAAATATTTTAACATGACTTTTATTATTTATAAACCGAAGGGCAGCTGCCCTTACGGCACCATTGTTTTTGGATAATATTTTATTTTGATGAAGATCACATAACTTACATTTGATTTTAATAACGTAAGTCTTCTCTTTTTCTGTGATCATCGCATCGGCAAAGTCCCAGGATTTAAAAGTTTTTAAAGTAAATCTTTTGACTTTCAAAATACAATCCATATTCGAACTTTAAACAATTTAGAGAGAATAGAAATATACAAGGTTTTTATATACTAGTTTGTCTTGTTTTATAAAGAAAAATACATATTCATTAGTAAAGAATAGAGACATTAAACTAAAATGTGCCTTAGTATTTATTTAACGGAATCTGTAATGTGCGCGTGCATAATGAAATCTCCATTATATAAATATATTCAACGTAATATTAGGATGTTATAGTCTAATCGTGATTTCTTTACCTTATAATATAACTTGATTTATGAAAAAAACTTATTGAATCACACGCAGAAGAAATTTATAAATTGTCTTTCAAAAAATTGCGAGTAACAGGTAATTTTTTTTTTCTGTGCCAGCCCCCTCCCCCCGCATAACTTAAAGGTAAAAGTATCTATATATCTTTAACTAATAAGAAAAGCAAAGAGTAATAATCAATGAAGTAATTTTTAGAAAAATACAAATACATTGTTTATTCATTGGCACATTTTTTTTAATATCTCGAAAAAATATCGATATTTTTGTTATCATGATAACAAAAATATTGACATTTTTTGAGATATTAAAGAAAATGTCAATCCTTAATTACAAATTTTTTTGCAAATGTTTTTTATTATAAATTCAGTAAAAAACTCTAAAAAAATCTATATTACAAAAAACATTTATATTCTGTATTAATAAATATGGAATATAGATTTTTTAAAAGTTTTTACTGAAAACTTAAAAAATTACTACTTTTTATTAAAAACATTGCAAAAAATTTGTAGTTAAGGATTGATGAACAATTTTTCATGTTGCTAAATATTTGGATAAAATGTTTAGCGTAAAATTAATTGCTATAAAAAGATAAGATATATCGAGATGAAAAGTTACATCAATTATTTTTAACGTAAATTCTTTTTTGTAATAAATATCTTTACATATCGTTATTTAAAAGTTAATGTGGTTTTTTTAGTTGATTACTTCTTTTATGTTATCGCTAATTTAAAAGTTAAAAAATGATAAAAAGTAGCTTAACCAAAACAGCTCTACACAAACGTAAAAATCGCTTAAGGCGTACGTAAATTGCTCTAGGTGTAACGCTTTAAAACAAGGCCTGATATATATATATATATATATATATATATATATATATATATATATATATATATATATATATATATATATACATAATATATATACATATACTATATGTGAATTTTATGTCGTCCAAGAGCAATTTTGCGTGTAGCTAGGGCTATTTGCGTTGAGCAAAAAATTTTTGTTTGAGTATATTTAAAGATATTTTTGAGCGGAATTTTAATGAAGTAATTTTCGATTATTTTAGCATTTAATAAAGTATTTTAAAAACCGCACGCAGTTGATATAAAAGTTTGAATTACAAAAAAATTAAATATGCTCATTATTTACAAGTAGAAAAAATTCAGATTAAAAAAAAAGTTTAAATCTTTTTAAGCTAACATTTTATTAAAATTATTCAGCAATAGCAAAGTTGTCGATAAAATTGAACAAAAATACTTTCTTTTAGTTTTAGATTTTTAACTTAAATAATTATTTTATGGGGGTTTGTTAGGTTTTAAAATTATTCCATAGATTTAAAAATATTTATTAACTGTTAGGCGTATTTAAAGAATTTAAGAGTAATTTCGAGTAAACATTTTAAAAATTGGTAAGTGCAAATAAAAAAATAAATAAAAGGAATAATATTAAAACGCATCCTTGAGGTCGCAATCGCGTCACAAAACAAGTTACCATCTTTGTAGGGGGAAAACATTGAACAAAATGCGTTATTAGCGCGTTTTGTTTAATGCCTTAACCCGGCTTTAAAATTAAAGCAATGAACAAAACGCGCTAATCATGCGTTTTGTTCAATGTTTTCCCCCTTCAAAGATGGTAACTCATTTTGTGACGCGACCGCAACCTCAAGGATTCTACTTGATTCAATAAAAAAGTACAACTTAAAATTTTCGTAAAAAGTAACTCAAAAAAAATTACTTAAATAATAACAATCGCTTTTTTGTTAAAAGTTACCGAAACTCAACGAAGCGTGCTCAAGAACAGCTGCTGAAAAATAGAACGTCAATAGTTTTTCGAATAATTAAAAATTATTCGAAAAACTATTTTTAATTAAAACAATAGACTGCCTGCCCAAACCAAACCCTCAGTCGATGTAGCAGCACTCCCTTGCGAGTCAGGCTATTAGTCAGTCGATGTAGTAGCACTCCCTTGCAAGTCAGGCTATTTGTCAGTCGATGTAGCAGCACTCTGTAGTGAGTCAGGCTATAAGATAGTCAATGTAGCAACATTTACGCATGTTTTAAAAATGTTTTTTAATAAAACAAAAACAAAAACAACACTAATAAAAAAAAACTTTCTAGTCATTATTATTGCGGTTTTTTTAAAAAACAATAAAATTTAATGTACTTCCGCATTAATTTAATTGCTTTGACATTTCGAAGACAATAAAATGCAGCTTAAGAGACAAGGTAAAAAAATTGTTGTTGAAAGAGACTTTTTTTTACCATAAAAGTCTCTTTCGACTACACTATAATCTTATATATATATATATATATATATATATATATATATATATATATATATATATATATATATATATATATATATATATATATATATATATATATATATATATATATATATAAAAATCCAGTCATTAAAAATACAATTGAACTACTTTTAGTTTTTTTGAGTTGTTATAATTTAAAGTGATTTGTTTTTTATTGTAACACAAAGTTTACACTTAAAGAAATTGATATTGATATTAAAGTTAACAAAACAAATAAAATAAAATGGTTTTATGCTGTAAAATGTTTTCTTATTTGCTAATCAGTATCTTTTTTTTTATATTTATGCAAGATGTAGACCTGATTTTCTCAAATATGAAAGACATTAGAAGGTTCACCTTCGGATTGTCAAACTATTCAGCAATTGTTGGTGGATTAGAAGAAGTTCGGGCCCTAGATTATGATTATGCTTCAGATTTACTTTTTTATATTCTAGTTGATGACCAAGATAATTATTTTATAATGAAGACTTCAATAAATAAACCTGGAGTTTCTACTGTTGTGGTAAAAGGAAACAAAAATATCAACAGTTTTGAAGGTATCTCAGTAGATTGGGTGACAAAAAAAATATACTTTACAGACATTACTACTAATCGGGTTGAGACTTGTCAATATGATGGTGAACTTCGGCGTGTTTTGGTTTCTGAAATGTCAGACCAACCAATGGGTATAGCATTGTTACCGCAAGAAGGGTTAGTTTTAAAAGCAGCGTAAATATTGCAAAATTTTAGTTTAAAATCAATAACAACATGATTATATTTCAAGCTTGTATAGATGTTGCTATAATTTAAAGTTTACTTGTTTAGAGTTGTTTTTATAATTATTAGTTGTTGTTTTTTTTTCTTTTCTTGTTGTTTTTTTTTTTAAATCCTTTACTTTTTTTGTTGAGATTTTTAGTGTAAAAATTAAGTGTATTTTATTTCCTTTAGATTTATGTTTGTGGCTTTTTCGGGAGAAAATCTTAGAATAGTTCGATTTCGAATGGATGGATCCCATCGCAAGTTATTGCTAGAAGTGAGTTATCCTATTAAGATGCCTTGTTCTATAGCTGTTGATACTGCAACAAATTTAGTATATTGGGGAGACACTCTTTACAATCAAATCGAATCTATGACAATATCAGGAAAAAATAGAAGCTTTATTAAATTAGATTCTGATAAAAAGCCCTATTACATTGCAGCATTTGGTGGAAAAGTGTTTTGGACAAATCAATTTTCAAAAATATTTGCATGGACTTTTAACCAAACTGTATACGAAATCAGTAGTTTTTTTGGAAGTTCTATCTCTCCACATGGCATAGCTGTATACTCTCCTGATAAACAACCCAAAGGTAATTAATAAATTTTGACCATTAAAAATATGTTCTGCTTGTTTACTTATTAGTGTTTGTTTTTCAATATCTTTGTCTTTCTTTAAAGTTGATTTTTCTTTACTTATTATTACAAGTTTTTATTGATTTTTAATTATTCTTTTTATTTACTTATTATCATCATTGTTACTTTTATTTACCTATTACTATTTATTTTTTTACCTATTAGTAACGCTTTTATTTACCAATTATTGATATAGTAATACAGATTAATATTCTAATGTACAGGTCTAAAGTATAACTGATTTTTCAGGGTTTTCTGAGTCATAAGCTTTTTTTATTTCATAATATATTTTAAGGTTTTAAACCCAGGCAAATTGTCTCTTTTTTTTTTTAGTTTTTTTATAATGTTATAAAGTATTATTAGCAACATTTCTGAAAGCATAACCATATATTAATTCTAACATAATATTATTTTTGATATGTTTTTTTACAATATAATAATATTTTTGGGAAACTAACCAAAATTAAAAGATCGTTAAGCAAAATTTTAATTACAGTTTTGATAAGAATAGTTACACTTTTGACAATTTTTTTAAAAAGCCAAGTATCTCTATTTTGATACATATTTTTTTCGGCTTTTCACTTTCTTAAGTATTTCTTATTAACTTTTGATTGAAAAAAATCAAATGAGGAAAATATTCTTTCAATTGATCCTAAGCTAGCAGTGCATGTTTGAAATTTATAACTAAATGTGCAAAATCCTTCAGGTAACCTTTTTTGAAGTAATTTCTTATTTTTCTGGTTACCAATCATTACTACCAATCTACCTACTACCTATCTACCTACTACCTATCTACCTACTACCTATCTACCTACTACCTATCTACCTACTACCTATCTACCTACTACCTATCTACCTACTACCTATCTACCTACTACCTATCTACCTACTATCAATCACTGCATTATAATTTGATTGCTAACTACCAATGCACTGTTTTATAATTTGATTGCTCAACAACCTTATTGGCATCACAATCCACAAATTCACACAAATAAAATTAACACAAATAAAATATCAAGCTGTAAAGCTATTCTTCTGCTTTATCTATGAAAATTTTAAATTTCAATTAATATAGCTGTAAAAATAACTTTTTTTTTTACATTTTTACAGAAAAATCAGAGTATTGACAGTGTTTTGTATATGAGATGTCTCTGATAATGGTTTTGGTTTTCATTGTTGAGGTCACATAATGAGTCCTTTATTACAACTTTGGGTTGATTAGAAGGAATGAGGCCACCATTTTCTTATTCCTGTTTCCATTCTCTTTCTCTATAAATGTCTTATTTATCCTTGTGTTGAATACTTTTTTCACATTTAGACTGGTTCTTCTAATAAGACTTCTCATTTTTAGACAAGATCTAAAAGTGTATTTTAAAGAATGTTGGACCTACTCCTACAAATTCTACCATGGTCGCTGCTCAAGCAAGCTATCATCACCTTTTTTATCAACTAAAACTCAATCTGTCATGAATCATCATTTAGCTAACTTATATCTTTTTACTGTAACTTTAGGCTCAAATATTTTTATCTATTATTTTTCCTTGAAGATTAGTGCTTTGGAATTTTCTCTCCTTCATGTTTTTGTGACCCATAAAGTTTTTTAAGTTTTTCTGTCACTTTCTTGCTCTTTAATTCTTTTCTTTATTTTCTGCCAACTAAAAACTAATCTAGTGGTTGCTTGTAGCCTTGTTATAACTTATCTACTCTAAATGGTTACTTGTAGAATTGTTGGGGAGCAAATTAGATGGCTGTTTTTCTATTTGATGCACAATCAGACATCATCTTAAATTTTAAATAATTGTTTGTTAATAATATATATATAATAATATGTTAATTATATATATATATATATATATATATATATATATATATATATATATATATATATATATATATATATATATATATATATATATATAGCTACAAAATAAGTAGCCTCCTCGTCTGTAGTGGCCTTCTCGGTCTTAAGGAGGTGAATTGAAAAAAAGGTAAATAGTGGTAAATATAGTGAAGTAGTAAGTATTATAACAAGATACAATAAAAGTTAATTGATTCAAATTACTTATTATCACAGTTAACACTAGCTGTATAAACAATGGAGGTTGTTCACATCTTTGCTTGTTATCTAAAGATATTTCTGTGTGTCAATGTCCCACTGGTGTTACGTTAAAAACTGACAAAAAATCTTGCAGTGGTAATATATATATATTTTTACTATTTTTTTACTGTTTGTGAAATTCTTTTGCTTGTTTTATTGGTATTTTTAATGTAATTTTTTTTGCTTGTTTTATTATATTTTTAATGTGAATTTTTGTGCACTTGTTTTATAGTTAGTGATTAAATTTTCATTTGTTTTATGAAACAAATGTGGTTAACAAATGTGATTAATTTTAATTATACTATATTTAATTATATTATATATATACTAATTGTGGTTATGATTTATTTTAATTTTTTTATGATTAAAATAAATGTGTGGTTTAAATTTGCACATCAATATCATTATTCACTATTTAATTTATTGAGCTGTTAGTAAAAAGATTTATCTAATCATTGATATTTGTTAAGCATGATAGTAATAACATATCTGCAATTAAAGTTTTTTTTTTTTTTTTTTTTTTTTTTTTTTTTTTTTTTTTTTTTTTTTTTTTTTTTTTACAAAACGATTGATATACACATGTGTTATTAAAATGTTTTTTTTAACACTTGTGTCATTTAAACAACTTTTTTTTGTTCATGTTTAAAAAAAAATTGCTATTTTGTAATTATAACAACTAAATGTTAATAAAAAAACAAACAAAACATCTATAGCAAAAAATTAATTGATTAATCGTTTGTTAATTAATCGATCAATGATTAATTGCTATTAATTGATTAATCATTATTCTTTTACCACCCCAAATTTCTACCCAAAATCTGTATACTTAAAATTAGAATGACTTTTCTGTATTTGTTCATATTTTTAATGTTTCTATGTAATTTCATTTCTAAGAGGTTTTTAAAACATTAACTACTTCATTAAAATACTGTTAAAATATCATTAAAATAGTTATAATATATAATAGGTCTCTTCATCTTTTCTTTTTTTGCTAAGGATAGCACAGTAAAATTCATAATAGTTTTTCGTTTTTAAACAAGTTTGTTCTTGATGATGCTCTAGATATTGAAGGCTACCCAATCTTTCTATTCAAAAGCTACTTCAAATCTTTTCCTATTATTTGCATAAAGCTTATAATGGTAGTGCAGGGTGAGTATTAACCATAGAAAACATAGAACATAGAGGTTTCTAAACCTAGAACATAGATATGGTATGTATGTATGTATCAACTCTCGAAATTAGGGTTGGCATTTGCCAATGCTGACCTAGCTGCCGACCTGAAAGTGTTTGAGGTTGGCAAAAAATTGCCTACCTTGTTTGTATGTTTTATAGTTAGACCTTTGTATCAAATAGTTTTTGCCAACCTGATGCCGACCTTAATTGATGTCAGCAAACTATTGCCGACCTCATTTTTCCTAATTCCGAGCGTAATGAATGTTTGTATGTATGTATGTATGCATGAATGTTTGCATGTTTGTGTGTAAAAACACGCATGTGTATCATGTATATCTTCTTTAATGGAAACTTTTTTTTTAACTTTTTAAAGAGATTAAGAAGTTTTTATTGGTTGGTCGCAAAACTGATGTTAGAATGATATCACTGGATGTAGAAGAATTTGTAGATATTGTTCTTCCAATAAAAGAAATGCGGCATGCTTCTAGTATTGATTATGACATCTTAGAGCAAAAGGTCTACTGGACTGATTCTTATACTAAAAGTATCAATAGAGTGTTTTTGAATGGAACAGGTATACGTTTATATCAAGTTTTTTAAATGGTATAACTTAATGATAAATTTAAATAGCAAATTAATATATATCAAAGTTATGGGTATTTATAATTTTTTTTATCTTTGGGAGGAAGGGGAGCTTTTATGTAGAAAAGTAATTATGTATATAAAAAAATTATGCTCAAATGAAAGAAAAATTTTCTTTCATTTGAGCATAATTTGTTTGTGTTCGATGAATGATAATATTTAATATACAAGCAAATTTTTAAATACAAATAAAAACAAAAACAAACAAATAGACTATGTCAATAGAATATGCAGGGCTTGATGGATAAAGAAAATCACCCAGCATGTTATTTCATGCTCATTAAATTGTAATAAGAGTGTTGCAGATAAAGTTTTAAATATACCATTTACAGGCTTTTTTCACATAGGGAGAGCAAACACAGGGTTGCCACTCAACCTGGAAAACCTTAATTACCTGAAAATAGCATGAATCCCAGGGAAAACCTAGAAAACTCAGGAATTTTCTAAAATTTTCATAAAATTCAGGTAAAACTCATGGAAAATAATTTTGTTTTTTGAAATTTTGTACAATAATTTTTTTTTTCAAAAATATTTTGCTAATACATTTAATAATAAGTTTGTAAGATGTGGATGTTTTTGTAAAAGTTTTAGTTTGTCAAATATAAAGATTGTGTTTAATTAAGGAAAATAATAATCTTGTTGATGAACATGAAAAAATATAGAAAAGTCAGGGAAAATTCAGGGAACTTAAAGAGTTCAACTCAGGGAAAAATGTTCTTTACTCAGGGAATACTCAGGGAAAAATTTTAGGAATTATAGTGGCAACCCTGAAATGTGTCCGCTATCACAAGTCCTGCAATTATAAATAAAAATTAATAAATGATTTAATATAAACTGCCTCAATTAATGCTGACTAAAAAAGTGCATTCATTTGTAAATTGTAGCTTCAACTTTTTCATATTTCATAACAAAAATTGTATTCCAGAAACTGGTCCAAACCACACATGTGGTTTAGACCACACTATTGATGTTAATTTTTTTTTAAGAATAATGGGTGACAACTAAAAAATGAGACTGGATTTAAAGACACATATCTCTTTAAAGAAATAAGATAAAACAAAAAGGAAAAATGTTCTAGAAAGTATTTTTATTCTAGTTTTTAAATATATAATTAGTTTTTTTCAATTAAACCATTTCTTCTGACTTTATCAACTAGGCCTGGTATAGACTGAGCTAGTCTCCGTATGAGCTCAATATCAATTTTATTAAGGCAATACCTGATTCTAGAACGTAATTTTTTAAGATTTTCTGCATGCAAATTATTCTTGTAGACAAGGCCTTTCAAAATACTCGATAAATTTTTGATAGGGCGACATTCTGACAAGTTTGCAGGGTTATCCGCTTTCTCAACATAATGCACATTTTCCTTGTTTAGGTACATAATTACTGTTTTTGCATAAATCTGGCCAGAATATATATGCACCATCTGAATGATACCTATTGATGAATGGAATAAGTCTCTTCTTAATACATTTGTTTAAATAGATTTTTTGGTTTACAGCCAGTCCACTTGTTACAAAATAAGGTTGCGAAATTCCATTTTAAGAAAAAGCAATCCATAGAAGTAAATTCTTTTAAAACTTTTGTTTTGTTTTGTATTTAACTGTAGATGGAGTAGATTTTACATCACTAGTATAAAATATAGCATTTCCACTGATACAGGAGTGGTTTAACGTGAAATAAGACTAATTGTCAATGATTGGTTTATGATTTTTGAATTTCTGACACAATCAACTGCACTTAGTTCTAGCTACTGCTTTTTGCTGGTCATAGCGTTTTGGAATCGTCATTTTTTTCTTGATTTAATATTTGTTCTTTTTTTTAATGTTTTACTAATGTGTTGCTGAGTACAGTTGAACTTTTTAGCTGCCTGTCGTTGAGAAACTCCATCTTCATGGTCAAACATGAGTTTGAGCCTTTCAATGTTTGTCCTGGTCATTTTTTAGCTTTTACTTCACTTCCTTGAATTCTTTGGTACCCAGATTCACTTTCAGCATGTTTAATTATCTTGTAAATAATACTTTTAGGTATATTCTCAACTTTAAAGTGGTCATAAATGAACGTTATGTTTACATAAAATATAAGTTGTTCTTTACATTTAGGCAGGTGAGGCTCTTTAGATGTGGCCAAAACAACTTACATAGGAGAAAGTTCTAATACAAAAATCCTCAATTTAACTGCGGGTAAAGGTAAAAGGAGCTTGTAAACCTTGGATGGTAATTCTCCTAGTGATAGTATCACAGCTTAATGCCAAGAACATCATGCTCTTGTAAATTTCACTAGCTTTTACATTATGTTCGATTTAAATAAGAATATTATTATATAGATAACTATTCCAAATCAAATCACATAAATATGGAATCAAGGACATTAAACTTTAAAATTTTATTATTTTAAGTTTAAGTTACGATTTGCATTACCTGCCCATAAGTTTTGGAAAAATATGAAGAATTTTCAAGTTATTAAAAATCTGTAACTTTTAAATAATTGCTTCTCCAATGAATCTATGAAGCTAAAATCTGTAACTTTTAAATGATCGTTTCTAGCTACAATAATAAGCTAGATAAAATTTATCACTTAAAAGCTTATAAATTTTATAATTATAAAGCATTTTTAAATATATATATTTTAAAAATATATCTACTCATAATAACAACTTATTAGTTTTTAGCATTTGTAAATATATTTTAAAAATAGTCAAATAGATTTTTTTCTAAAAATAAAAATTGATAAATGTTATTTTAATTTTTTATAAATTTATAGGTCATGAACAAGTTGTAAAGACTGATATAGTTAAACCTGCTCACTTAGCAATTGATTGGATTGCTCGTAATCTTTACTGGAGTGATACATCACTGAACCGAATTGAGGTTTCTCGCCTTGATGGTTACTCACGAAAAATAATTGTTTCTGAAAATCTTATTAAACCGCATGGAATTGCTATAGATCCTGTTGGAGGGTTTAATTTTTTTATTGTTCCTTTTAATTATATTTCATCATTCAAAATTAAGTATAGTATATATATATATGTATATATATATATATATATATATATATATATATATATATATATATATATATATATATATATATATATATATATATATATATATATATATATACACACACTTACTAAAGCGTGTTTTGATAAGCATTTGCTCACTTTTTCTGCTTACCTTAAGCTATATCGTTTTTTTCGAAAAAGAAGAGAAAATGAAGAATGATGAATAAGACGATTGCTTCCCCATCCCAAACCCTCAGTCGATGTAGCAGCACTCTACTGTGAGTCATGCTACTTGTCAGTCGGTGTATGTACTGAAGCCCCCAGCAGCAGGCTATTTCAGTATGACGTCAGATTGCTTATCTTAGTACACAATACTATTTGTATATATATATATATATATATATATATATATATATATATATATATATATATATATATATATATATATTATATATCAGGGATGCAAAGTTCCATCAATTTTTTGGGACTCCCGGACTCCAGAATAATTTTTTTTCTATAATTATATATGGGATTTTTATTATCTGGAACTTTTATGTGAAAATTCCAAAAAAAATGAAAGGGTACCAATAATATTTTCTCTTATGAATTATGTTTATTTTTTGTACCCTAAGAAGTCCTTCGGTCGTATAACAGAGCACCTTGGAAAAGCAAATAGCAGGAAATTCACTCCTATTTCCTAACCGGTATCGCAAAACCAAAGGTGGATTTGAACCGCAGATCCCTTATTTTTTTAGGAAAGTGCGCTACCACTGTGCCACGGCTGCTTAAATCTAAAAGTTAATTTGTCCTGCTTTTGTTGGATAGTAAGAATTAATAAGAACAATACAACTCCAAAGATTTTTATTGTCGCACGACAGATTTCTCAGATTTCTCACTCAATTTGCAACCACATGATCTTAAAATTATAATAAGATTTAAATGTTTATTTACATTAATTACATGCTAAATTATTAGTTTACAAGAACAAAATATTACAATATCTACATCATCAAAAAATGTTTAAATAAAAAATTTGTTTTTTTGTAAAAAAAAGCATATCATTAATTAACTCAGATATAAATTGACTACGATGGTCTGGTGTCATGTGCTTTAAGACTGAAAACATAAGCTTTACACTGACTTGGTATATGGGTAGCGACAAAGCGACATGGCAGGCATCCTATACAACTTCAGGGAACTGCTCAATTGATTTTAATGGGTTAAGTTTTAAAAACTTGTATAAGTTGGAAGAGTTATCTTCCGTTAAATATTGATCTAATTTCCGAAATTGTTTTTAGAGCTTGTCGAAACTCCTTTTTGATTACATCTAGTTGAACCAGCATTTGTTCTTCTGAAGAATTTTTTAGAATCTCCTGTTCACATAACATAAATAAATTTGGTCGACGCTTTGCAACTGGTTTAGCATTTTCCTCTTATTCTCATTCTTATTTTCATTAGCAAGTTGAATCAGTTTGTAATATATTTTCCAAAGTCCATCAGCTGCAATTATTTATAGAAGTATTTATTCTTTTTGGAATATGTATTTTTTAAAGTAAAATAAGTAAATATATATAAATAAAATTTTATTAAAAAAACAACCTTGTCTTCAGTCGCTGTTAGTATACAGCCATGCCAACATATCAACATAAATTGCTGCAATTATAAAGTAGTATAAATGTCATTAACTTTGAAATAATTGGATTTATATTATACCGTTTAGAAAACTGGTTGATAAACTTTAATTAAAACTTATAAGTTATAACTTACCTTAATTAGCCTCTCAATCATATTGAACTAGCTAGACCAATGGGTAGCCTGATCTAAAATTGGAATGAGATGTGGAGTATGGTCCCTGAAAAAGTCAATCCACTTCGAAATTCTTGCCGTTTTGACAACATCTTAGGCATGGCTAATTAAATTTTTTATTGTAGGCCTTTTCAATGCATCATTTATGGCAAGTTGTAAAGTGTGGACAGCGCATCTTTGAAGATGTAATACACTCATGCTACTGGCAACTCCACTTGCCAAGACTGCTGCTGCATTGTCCACTTTAGAATCTTCTTTGTCAAACTCATCAGTTTCTACAAAAATTGTCTTTTTCATCTACGATTTCCTCAACGGCGCTGATGCCAAAGTCGCTCACCAACTTTATTTGTCAACACTGAGGCCAAAAATATTAGTTTTATTGATTCCTAACTTATCTAAACACATCTCAATAATTTTTTTTGTGTATTCCGCCGTTTGTTTTCCCTTTGTTATCGTTTGTTTGTGATCAATGGTGTCAAGATTGATCACAGCAATTCGAGTATTGGGCATTTATACCAAGGCAGTGACGCATATGCCTTGATGTAGAATCGACTTTTAAATAAATTAGCATTTTCGATAATTTGTTTTTGATTTATTTGCAATGCTTTTTGGCAAGATCGATAATTTTAATTCTCATATTATCTCTATTCATTTTAAATCTAAAATGAGATGAAACTTTTCCGCATAGCTTTTGAATAGGTTCCCAATCAAATGCCTATAGATATTGTTTTTAGAATGATAAATGTTTATTTAAAAATTCCAAGAAAACATATAGTTGTTTAGATTTTTTTTTTTTTTAATTAAAAAATAAATACTAACAAAAAAATAAATTGAACCTGGAATGAAATACCTTCAAGCAAAACCAGCTGTTTTAAGGCTTTTAAAAACTCATCTTTTACTATATGCAAATTAATTTGCTGTGGTACAAAACACTTTAATACGGAGTGCTGCCTTTGATGGCTTTTTGCTTCTTATTCTTTTCTTCTATTTTTTTTTCTAATTTTTCTTTTTTTAATGTAAATAGGAGCTCTGCATATTTTCTAAGTGTCATATAAGGTTGCTAAAAAAAGTTACGGAAAAACATTACGTTAGTAGTTTTTCCGTAAAAGGAATTGCTGCGCAAAATAATTTTATTTATTTGTTGAGGTATTTTTATAAGCTTTTTTTGGCTACTTTCTGACCTAGATGGTACGTTTTTTGCTAATGTCTAGATCGTTAGCTTGACTTTATAACGCAAACTCACAGACAAATTTGATTTTTTATTGCATATAATTAATTAGTGAAGTTTGATAGCTTTTCGTATCTAAACCATATTGCTTTTATTGCAATTTTTGACTAGGCATTATTAAAATAAAAATTTTCATTTTCTTAGCAGAGTAGACTGAAAACCAATGTACATAATTATATTATCTCATACCATTTTGGGTTGAAATTAAAAGAAATAAAGAGATAAATTTAAATAAATTTGGTATTTTCTTCGTTCCAAAAACAACTCGAAAAACATACACAAAAATTGCGCTGTAGAATACCATGTTGAATCTGTATCATCTGGTGAAATGAATGGTAAAAATGAAGCCTTGATAATCTTTAAAATTAATAATTAATTGGTACGTGGAAAAATTGACACTGGAGCTGAAGTTTATGTTATGCCAAAAACAGTCTACAATCAACTAACATCACGTGATAATCTCACTTATACAAATGTTAAACTACGTGGTTTTGGAAGAAATCATATTCCAGTGCTTGGAACATCAAAGATGATGTGTCACTACAAAAGTCGTAAAATGTTGGTTAAATGTAGTTGTAGTTGAAACAGCAAGCAAACTCGTTCTTAGCTTACAAACTTCACAAGAATTAAAAGCTATCAAACTACTAAATGTAGTAAAAACTGTAAACACGAATGAAGCTAATAAAATTATTGAAAAAAATAAATGTAATCAAAATTTACAGAAGAAATAAAAAATGCAAAAACATTGGAAAACGAAAGTGATGGGGACTGTGTTCGTTTACATGATGGAAATGAATGGCAACCAGGAAAAATTTTTGAGAGCAAACAGCAACGAAGTTTCAATATAAAAACCCTAAATGAAAATATTGTTAGAAGAAACAGAAGACATCTACTAAAAACAAAAGAAAAATTAGATTGGGATGTAAATTTATCAGACAATGAAAGCGATATGAATGAATCAAAAGACATATTCATGGGTAAAAGAAAATTGTTGAATAACACCAACATTGATTCAAATACAAATCAAAATGAATCATTAGACCACCACATTATTGTCACGCGATCAGGAAGAATTTCGAGGAAGCCAAAACATTAAATTGATTACGAAATACATTAAAAAAAAAAAGGAAAGTGTAATGATTGTTATGCAAAACAATTCAGAATAGCAATTAGTGATTGCAAAACAAGCAATTCCCTTTTGCGAATTGCACAAAAACTTATATCGAAAGTATTCCCTTGAGAGAATTCCACACGAGGAATTCTCGCTTAAAAGCCAATGCGCTGAATTTAAATACAGTTGAAGTTTCGACGCGAAACTATACAGAGTTTTATATTTAAACTAGTTGTGATAATTTAATATGAAAATATTGAAATAAATAAAAATCATAGTCGAATTCTCTTTATAATAAAGATAAAGACAAAACATTACAGTTAACTAACTTCAATTATTTTTGCTTCAGCCATTCTTACAAACTCGTTATACTTAAACTTAAAGTTACTCTCTGTTTTAAATACTAATTAAAATTATAAAGCCCACTCACTAAACATCATCAGCAGTATTGTGAAGCAGTTCCATTTCCTCCTCACTAAGTAATTTAACGTTTTTAGTTAATTTCTATCTAGCTAATTGAATTTCTACAGTAACTCAATGATTTAATTATTTCATTTGTTCATCTTACTAAGAAGAATTGTTTCAAATGTGTTAAACTTTTCAAACTACGCAAAGCATAAAACAGTTATTAAAAGAACTTTTTTATTTATAAATAAATGATCTAGCGTTAGTTTTATTGGTTGAATCTTGTTGGACTTTTCAGGGCCTGGGGCTGCATTATTTTGGTGGCCTTTATTATGTGCCACAGCGTAAAAATGACTAAAAAAATACAGAGTGGTCCTCTTGACTATTTCGCGGCCCCTAACATTG